TATGCACAGATAGGTGGTAACACTTGGGACACGAGACATTATCTAGAGCACTGCTTATATTACTCATAACTATCGAATTTAAATGCATTTTGTAGGAGCTTCTTTTCGCAGAGACCCCCTCCACAGATGGAATTTGGGTCCAGCACATCAGATTGCACAGCAGTGGGCTAGGGAAAGAGCTGCTGATGCTGAATTGGCTTCTGCATTTGACAGTATAAGCATATTTGACCTCCCAGTTGGGGTGAGAACTTCAGAAGAGCTGAAAGATAAATCCACTCCAAATCCAGAGATGAAATATGAGAAGAAATCTAAAGCTTCAATTACTACTTCCAGATTTTCTTCTCAGGCTTCGTTAACTGATACTAGTTTAGAAGTGATTAAGGAATTTTACGATACCTCATCTGCATTTTTAAGAGGGAAATCTCCTGACCTTCCTAAGAAGCAAGGACTTCTGTCTGCTCGTGCTGCATCAATGCTGGTGATGTGTTTCTTATAGATTTTTCACTCATCATTCATATTTTGAATTAATGTGACATCTGTGACTGTGGCCACGTGTTGTTTTGTGTGCATCCTTTTTGTTTTCCTCTTTTGATGCCTAACTTTTTTAAAGGTCAAATCATGCTTCATTTTGCATATCTATCTTTCCTCCCATAGATTTATCTTCTGTTTCAACTGATCATGTTTTGTAGGGGTCAATATTGACGGACAAGAGCTATGTAGGATTTAGGAAGCCAAAAGACTTGCGTGCTTAGCCAGGGTCTCACATTTGAGTTGTCTGGGTGTTCATTCATTAGTAAAGTTCACACGTTATTGGGATTAAATAAATGAAAAAAAGTTGTTTTCTCTGGAGGAGGAAGATTGATGTTACTAGATACTGTTTTGTCTGTCTGTACGCAATTTTTTCTGATCCCTTTTTCAGATGCATATAAGGTTGCTAATCTGTTGGAGAAAAAAAATGGAAGTTTTCCTTTGGGCTTGAGAGGGAATTCAAGTGTGGGAGTCATCTTGTTAATCGAAAGGAAGCTTCTAACCCTTAGAAAGGGCACAGTGTTGGAGCGGGAAATCTAAAAGATACTGGTTGCTCATAAAATTTTGGGATGCACTTGGAGATGCTCTCTTGAAAGACCTTAAGATGAATAGAGAAGGTTGGTTTACTTGTGACCATCAGACTCTTAAAGGGAAGCCCCTGGAACTCCGTAGTTTTGTTTAAAGCCCTTTCCATTAACTTCTTGAACTTCAAAGTGGGTTTGAGGAAGGTAAACTTCTGACATCACTCATCTAGCTTGGGTTAATCCCTTTCGTTGAGAACTGTCTTCCCAAGGCTTTTCCAGATTCTAGCTCCCAAAATTCTTCGTTGAGGTGTATGAACTACGAGAGAGGCTTGACTTATAGCTTTTCAATATTATTATAGATCGGTCTCAGGTAGAAAGATCGGATTACTCTGATATGCAACATCCTGTTTATCAATCTTATTCAACAGGAGAATATTTGTGTACGCTTGGACTCCACTGGCCTTTTCTCCCCTGGCTCTCTTATGCATCATCAAACAAACATGAGTGCCATTTAGAAAAAAAAAGAAAAAAAACAAGGAATACTCAAAAATATCATTTTTTTTTTTTTTTTTTTTTTTTTTTTTTTTTTTTTTTTTTTTT